AAAAAACTTAATATATTTAAAAAAGATAGTGTCAAGTTCTGCGCACCCATTCGGTCACTCCAGCCTATGTCGGTGCACATTGCACAGAATACACTCTTCCTAATTACATAACATAAATGTAAGAAGATAGAAAAAAAAACCATTACTAAAGTTGTTTAGGTATATTTAAAATCGGAAAATCTTCTTTGATGTGTTGAAGCTACATACGCAAAGAAGATGGAAGCTGAGCTAGAACTGACGCAGATAGGGTAAAATTATTTGAACATTTCTCTTGCGTATTTACTTCAAATCCTGACTTAGGATCGACTAAAATAGACAAAGTTAGAGAAAGCATGTCCTTAACCCATCAGATCGAATGTTTTTCTAAAAGTGAAGTATACCAAGCTATTTGTAAAGTAGACTCAAAAAAGGCTCCCGGCTATGATCTATAACAGCAAAAACGTTAAAATAATTACCTGATATAGGCATAACATTTTTAACACAAATATACAATGCTATTCTAAAACTCGAGTTCATTCCTGAATAATGGAAAACAGCCATGGGCGTAGGCAGGTACGGGCAGGGGGGGGCAGCTGCCATCGAGGAGCTTCAGAACCAAAAATTAAATAATAAATAATCCAAAAACTAAATATAAAATTTTGAAAAAATATAGAATCGCACATCTCTCTCATTAGTCTCGTTACTAAAGCTCTAATTTCGATAGGACTACTCGTAAACAGAGAAGTGATTTCGTACGATGGATATATGGACTTTTTTAAAGTGTGCAGTCTGTATAATGTTACTGTGTGTAAAACTAACAAGTACATATTAAGGTATTCTTAAAAATATAATTTTGCCGGGCCATGTATCGTAGCCACACATTGCCGGGCAACTATGGCCCGTTTAGAACACAGGTTTAGAAGCATCATAAAAATAAATTATTCGAAAATTAGTTTTTTACTAGCTAGCACAAGTCCTAAAAAGATCATAAAATGACATCTATTCTCATTAATTGTATGTGAGACGAAATTCTTAACAATCCATGTTTCACCGTGCGGGTGCCGAGTCCATCGTGTGGCAGAGAGAGAAACTGAGCAGTTCCCGGGCCTTGCCATCCGGGTGTAGGTTTAAGGAGGCCCCCTTTGAGATACGCATCAACGCTCACCTTCACTGCTTGAGTTGCTCGCCCTTCCTAGCCAAACTTGATAGGAGTCTGTTAGTGCAGCCTTAGTTACTCGTTCCAAAATTAAACTTACTGCAGTTCTCGATAGGCCGAGGTCTTTTAGAAGGTTATAGAAAGATTTTGCTGGTATACCTCTCGCTCCTACTTCTACCGCATGTAAATTAACTAGATAGCCATTTTTGGTTAGTTCGTTGGTAAGATTGTAATATTTATTCAATTTTATTGTGAGGTATTTTGGAATGTTAGTACGATACAGTAAGCTCTATTAGTACTTTACTTATGTTTGATGTGCTTAAAAAGGGGAATACGTCCGGCCTGGATGACGAAACACCAACATCATCTGGTACATTGTAGTGATTTTCATACGTACTTATCTTTTAAAATAGTCTAGTCAGGTTCAGTATCTAGGATTGAAAAAGGCTTGCTTTTCTAGTTTACAGTTGAGCCTTTCTTTATAAAGTTAATTTGTTTTTTATTTGTGGTTAATCCTTTTTGTGCAAATAAGCATTGCAAGTTACAAAATAAACTTGGCGGTTAATGATTTTAATAATGTTCCAGAAATAAGAGACACGATTAGCACAATAAAAGATGTCATCAACTTTTTCGAGAATCTTCTCTACGGAGAAAGTACGTGCCAAATATTCCAGCTCTTTGTGAGACACGCAGGTCACACAAAAACAAAAGTATTGCTATTTTAAACGATCATTTTGAGGGCATTCTCAATGGGCTTTTGGCAATTTCTAGAGAAGGTAATGCTGCCGCGAGAAAAAACGGTTACCACTTATATTGTGCTGCTACCAAGTAAGAATTTATTATATCTGCTGGATTGATACGAAAATACTCAGGAATATTGGAACCTGTTGCCAATGCCCTATAATCAAAGAGAATAGACATGTATATATGAAAGAAGCATCTCAGTAACTCGGACCAGGAATTCCAAAATGTCTTCGACACTTCTACGGAAACTGCAGTTGTCATTGGAACCGATTTATATATCCCGCGCATTGCATTTCGCCAACGACATCAGTCCAATTATCCTGTTGAGACTCCATGCGATTTTTGGAAGCGATCGATCTTCATCCCGTATTAGGATTCCCTTATATCCGCACTGGCACATCGTTTCTTTGATAAACATATGTTAATCAAAGAAACGATGTTCCAGTAGGCATATGCCTGCCTTCGGATTGATGATGCTGCATCCTGATGCTATGTTGAAAATTTCATTGGCTGAATTCAAACAGAAAACACAAAGTTACTATGGGTTAGAATCCTTTGATAATAAAGCCGAACTGTGATATAAACGATCGAAAGATATGCCAAGAGAACACCTCAGAGAGCTGAACTTTGCGGAGTTGTTAGAGAAGGCGGAAACATTCTTTCCTCCAACCAGAAAATCTATACTAATTTCTTTGGCACTGTCTTGCACCACGAGGTACTTCTCTACACTGCGGTGTAGTCAAAAAGTGGTTGAGGTCGACGATGCTCGATCTTGATCTCTTAACATACATAGGACACATAAATGGCCTGTGTATGTTAAGTGTCCAGCGAAAGATGATACAAGAAAATTTAATTTTTGTAGCGAACATATTAGTTTCACTCGCCTGCCCCCCCCCCCCCCCCCCCTAAACTAAATCCTGGCTACGCCCTTGAAAACAGCTGAAATAATCCTTATCCTTAAGCCTGGAAAAGAACCGGATAAAGTAACTTCATATTGGCCCATAAGCCTACTGCCTATTTCTTCTAAATTGCTGGAAACCCTCGTTATGAAAAGATTACTATCAGAAATCAATAAACCGAATATAATCCGTTCGCACCAATTTGGATTTCGTGAAGCTCATGGAACAGGATAGGTTAACTAAAAGTTCGTCAATAAAATCAATACAGCCTTTGAACAAAAAAAAATACTGCTTGACAGCCTCGCAAGCCTTTTACATTGCATGCAAAAACCGGAGTGGTTTGGAAAACCATTTTTTTTCAGTTTTGATTTAAAATTTTTTGTCAATTTTCGGATTTGTGTCAATAAAAAAATGCGTATTAACTGGAACAATTCCTCGGAGCACTCACCATGAAAGAGCCTGGACAATACGCTTAGGCAACCAAGTACCTGCGCAGTCCTAAAGGCTCCACATTTTCCGCTAGCTTGAGATCATCGGCAATCCTAATAGCGCGTCTGCGTTACGGTACGGTACAGGTCACTCAAAGAAGTAGGTAAAAATCAAATACTAAATCCAAAGTATTTGATAGCTCCAGCCCAGAGATGTAAGCAGTACCCTTAGTACGAACCAATTCATTACGTCTGTGATTGCGAAATGTCATTGAGAAATTTCGAATGGAAACTTGAACAACAGCGCCGCAGACTCTCATTATGAGAGTTAAAAATCAGTACACATTTAACATGTATCTAGATCGAATTCAACTATTCGAATGGTTCGCGCTACTCCATGTGGGATATAATTTGAGTTTTATAGGGCAGAAGCCTTTGCTTAGACAAGAAGTACTGTTTCGACCGATTAAGAACTCCCAAGTTTTTTAGAGGCCAGTTTGGCCTTGCCCTCTAATTGGTTTCTATACTGGATGTCGCACGAGATATCAATACCTAGTAGTAGCATTTATCATGGGTCCGGAACAGCAGTTATCGATAACTACTTTATTACTACTGCTATCCAAGAAGTTGGATATCCACTTGCAAAGCCCCTCAGGTAGCCCGTAAGATGGTAACTTTAATAAAAGTGCTCTATGCAAGACCCTGTCAAACCAGATATCCAGGCCACTGCTTGACCTGTGCTATTTGCTTTAGCCCAACGGTGATTGAGATAGACGAGAAGATCACCAGCCGAACGACCGTGGCGGAAACCACTACAGTTGCCATAGCTAATTAGCTCATGCTCGCCAAGATACTCAAAAGGCGGGTAGTGATCACCCACTTCATTACCTTAGAAAGCATGTGATTGCTACAGGCCTGTAAGTTGCAGGATCAGATTGGTCACCCTTTAAGTACACTATTTTATCACCTATAAACGTGACTAGGAGAGAGACTGGTTGAAAAAGCAAAATCGCTGCGGGACTAGAACGACGATCGAGCGTAAAACACTTTCCATTTTACTTACAAATAAGGTTTTTTTTCCTGAAATAATTAAAAAAGTATTTACATGATAGTCATAATTTTCTTTTATATATTTATTTTAAGTCCATTGATGCGTAAGGAAGTGTTTTATGTCAAGTTAAGTAAAAAAGGAAAAAGCCGAAAAGAAACAGTTTTATGACTAAAGAAAATCGAGTTCCAAAATCTATCGCTTATCCGGTTAACCGGTTGCATGCTCTAGTTTGGCACCACAGCTTATTGTTCAAGATATTGAAAACCCTACCATCAAAGTACTATCTACTTTTTAAATCCAATTTCACTTGATGTCACTTTTATGTAAAAGTAGGAGAGGAAAGATCTGAGGTATGTGACGTTAAGGCGGGAGTCCCTCAAGGAAGTGTTATGGGTCTAGTCTTATAACTTATATTAACATCTGACCTACCATTATCAAAAACGTACTTATGGGCACTTTCACAGACGATACAGCAGTGTTAGCTACCCACAAAGATCCGAAAATCGCATCCAACATGCTGCAAAGAAGCCTTAATGACATATCTATGTGGCTGCGCGACTGTCTGCACATAATACCTTTACACTTTGACATGGCTCATGCCCCCCAGTTTCAATGAATAACATTCAAATACCTCAGTGCGGGGAAGTACGATATTTGGGTATACACATGGACAGAAGCTTGAAGCTTGAAAAAACATATCTGCGTTAAAAGAAAAGCGCTTGGCATACAATTTAGAAAAATGTATTGGCTAATGTATCAACATTCAAAATTATCACGGCATAATAAATTACTTCTATACAAAAATATCTATTTTATTTCTAAAAAAATCAACTTCACCACGACCTGAAAGTACCAATGGTCAAACAGGAAATACATAATAAGCTGAAGACCTACGCAAAACGTATTAAAGATCACCCAAACGCCCTCGCGAGTAAGTTGATGGATAATATTATACTACTTATTCTAAGACCCCAAACTATTTTTATTACAAATCAATTAAATGTACAGACAGACACGCGAAACTTACATTTTTATTATAATTAGATATCTCCCAGGCCCTTCTGTCTGTAAAGGAAATAAAACCACAATAATTTTATAAAAAAATGTATTTTACAAAATATTAAAATTAATTTATAATAATTAGAAATGACATCTTGGCACTATTCCTTATTATTTAGAAAAACATAAAAGTAGGTAATGTGGTGTTACATAGTTATACATAAAGGGAATATTCTCTCTGTGATTGAAATTTTGAATGAATTAATTTTGAATTGAATGAATTGACCACTCGCCATACATCTACTATGACCCGTAAAACAAACTAATACATGAAAATTTGCAGTGTATTAAGTAATGACACAAATCGTAAATACCTTCGAGATATGTGAAAGAAAAAATACTAAAATAATTTGTCGAAGCTGGCCTTGTTAATAAGTACAAAACCTTTCATTCCATTCACACACACGCCTTTCTTTGAAGCTTTTATGACACATTCATTAGTCAGATAATAAATTTAAAGTGACAATGCGGCACCCATTTACTTTGGTGCTTCATCAACCTTAAAACATGTAAGAAACCTTTTTAATCTTACGTCATTCACTTGGGTAAGTATTCTATAACGACTATTTAAAACATCACTGCAATGCAAGCAATAAAAATGGTTGCCTGTAAAGTCGGTTTTACGGGCGAAGATTTTACGTGACAACGTCTTTTTCTCGGTAGAATATTTATTGATATGAATATAATTAAATTGCACAATAGGAACAAGGAATTGAATGAAAATAAGAATTGCACAAATTTTAACTATAGAAATATATTTTGTTTACTAAAACATTGTACATGTAAACTTAAACTTAACACGAGAGACTCATCGTAACGTTACCGAGCGTTACACTTTTTCATAAGTGACTCCCAGCCGCAACCTAATTTAAGACGTTGTCACGTCAAAAACTTATAAAATAAAACAAATTAATGGTTATAACGTTACGTTAACATTATAATTTCTTCATAATGTACTGCAACTGTAGAACTTGTCATGTCAGGTGCTTGAATTTGGTACCCATTCACATAAAAGGCATCTTTAGTTCGTTATAGCATTGAACGTCAAGCAAAAATACTCAGAGACGTTAATTTATAATAATGTATGTCGAAGTAACGCGTTGTCTTGATTGCTTTGGTTGCGATATAAATTCCTAGTGCGTCGACCTACAGCTAAAACAGTCAGCATTTGTACTCAAGCAGAATTTCAATACATCGTGATCAGGGTTGCCACCCGTACTTTCTTATGAAGTATTGTACGTTATTTCTGGTAATTATACTTCATAGTTCATGCTAACAATAAAGTACAAGAAAATACTTTACTTAATGTGATTTGATTACTCGGGAATAATTTTATATAAAATATACAAAAAGAGGTTGATATGAATATTTTTTGCGTAAAACAGACAGACAGTATGGATATGACGCCCTTAGCTAATTCAACATTGCAACATTTTCGTGGCTGTATGGCTTTGTACCATGACCTTTCCCATTGCTGAAAATAACTACAGATTTTTAGTAGGCACAAATTATTTAGTAGAAGTTGCTAGTTATTTAAGTAGCAACGAAAAATATATTTTTAAGCTTACTAATAAAGTGGAATAAAAAGTACTTTATTTTGGACACAATGTACTTTTTTCTACCTTTAATATCCAAATGTACTTTGGCGGCAACCCTAATCGTGATAGTCATCGTAGTCCAGCGAAAATCACGACACATATTCTGTGTTCTTTGGACACATAGATTAATTTATCGATTTTGAGAGTTAGATCCTGAATACTTTAGAAGCTTCGATTTAAGTGAAATCGTCATTCATATTATGTACAGTAATAATTAATTATTGTCCTTGTCCTTGAGGACATTCTTAAACTATGCAGTCGATGCTCGCACGCAGATTTTTCCTGAGGAATTTCACTTGGAGCATATACACATATATCTCTAGATCTAATGGCAGCCGCAGCTCTTGACGACCATGTTCTTGTACTTGCGCAGAATCACGTTGGAGTCGTCAGTGTAATATAACACAGAGATAGGCGACAGCTTGATCGGAGCGCAAGATGGCTTCGGCACCTAGTGATTGATTAAATTAATTAATTTCAGCGTGATCCCCCCCCCCCCCCCCCCCCCCATGTTAAGTGTAAGTGGAGTCCAGTCGCAAACATAGATGATGTTATATTTATAGTCAAAGACAAACGTAGTTCGGATAGGTAGGCTCGGAAGTAATCCAGGGCTCTATAAGGTGGAGTACCTTAAAGAAGACCCCAGCGAACCCACTGTCAGTGCATAAAGGTCACAGCTCGTTAGAACCACCCGGCACTGCCTCATCGCTCGACTTCCACTCGTGGTCGACGAGCAAACTCAGGTGAATGCCGCGTTGTAAACCAACCAACGACGGGTGCCCGACGTTGGCTGGTTAATTTTTAATAAGGAAAAACACGTCCGACACGTTTGACAGAAAGGCTGAGAATGACAAGTGGCGCCGGTGACGCCGATATGATCAACTGGCAGCACACCAGCACCACAGCGGTGACACTCTCTGTACGTGAGAGTTCCAGCGTCAGTGACCTTGAGCAGGAGCGTGTATGCGCTAGAGTTGAACTTGGAATTTAGACTTGTGCCAGTGAATATTTATGCATAGTAAGTTATTAAATGTAAACTGATTCAAGGATCAATTTTTAATCTTTTAATGTAGGTACTATAACAAATTGCTAACTTTTATATATTTTCTCCTTTTTCGATTCGTTTTATAATTCTTATTATTATCTAAATAATAATCAGATTGCGTAGCGTAGTCAGTCTGTGCGTACAATGCAGTGCAACGCTATTATTTTACTATTTTGCTACTGCCATGCCTTCGGTCGAGGCAGTCGGCGACTGCCCTCTCCACGTCCCGCGCGCCGCGCAATGCCCCCGCGCACCTCCAGACACCCACATATAGCCGCGGGCGATTTTACGAGCACACATGCTTAAGTGTCGCTTCTTTTCGCGTAGTGTATATATTCTGTGCCAGCACCGACCACACGGCATGAGTGCAAGCAACATGGGGTTACCGAGTTGTCCATTCCCCACCCACCCGCGAACAGCTTCCGAACGAGGCGATTTTTGGATCAGGAAGCGTAATTGGGTGACGTTACGGAATTGATGTAGTGAACGTATGTATGTATTTGTATACCCATATAAATCCATACAAATAATATCAACCACACGAGTTGGTCGGGTACCTGGTGGGTCTAATGAGCTGTGGAGAGTACCTAAAGGATAAGGGATAGAATGCAGACCAGCAATATAGGGATGAAGGCACATTTTTGCACACATGTCGGCTGTCTTCAGGATTCCACTTACACTAAACATCAGGCACGTCTTTGTAATTTGTTGTAAAAAATGTTTATCTACATCCATGCCTTATAACCTCTATTAAAGAATCTGAAACAGCGTACTACCAAAATGAAAACATCCAATGTGATAATTAAAAAAGAACTATTATAACAACATCCAAGCGGGTTTTATAATGTAACACTCATTCGTTTTTTAAATCCCTTCCGCGCCAAGGGCTTATTAATCAAACAGACACAATTATTATTTTCATTGCTCAATGCGCCTTTCACTACCATAGCGCCGAAACTTTTCATGAATTTTTTTAGAACGCTCCATGCTATCAGAATCTTTTATAGAGGATTCATATCATGGGTGATAAAATCTTGTATGCAACTATTTATAATTAGGTTTAACAACACTCATGTGATACTGTTATACCATGAGGCGAAGCCGAGAAACCCACATTCGTGTTTAATACCCCTCATTATGCACTCGAGAGCAATGAATCCGAGTCACATAAAGAATCCTAAAAGTCTCGCAAACTAAAAATGCTAGCTTAATGAAATAAATTGTGTTTAATAGACAATTAAATATTCTTTAAATGAACGTAATATTTATGAGTTACCACATTTTATTTACAAAACAAAACTGGCTGATCTCGCCTTAAAAAAATTGGAAACATCATTTTTTATCAACATTACGATTTTGCTTGAATTTTAATATTCAATATCATTTATTCAGTCTAGGCTGTTACAAGCACTTGTGAATGTCGAAAAGCTACGCCATCGGTTCGCAAATCTACGGCGGGAGACCTTGTACTGAGAAGAACCGGCAAGAAACTCAGCAAGGGCTGTTTTTTTCTCCCTGTATTATATACAGAGTCGTCAAATTGAAAAATGACTTCAATATGAGGTAACTCATAAAGTCACTTTTCATTACAAACAAAAAAAAATGCAAATAATATAAAAATTATGACTATAAAATAAAAAATTAAAATATGTAAAAAAAAATGGTTTAACAAAGTTTAGGAATGACGTGTCCTACCGCTTAGGCAAAAAGAAAATAATAATAATGAACGATTAAAGTTTAGAACAACGATTAATAGTAGTACCCAGTGAATTAAGAGCAGACTCATCTCCGCTGGCAGCACCCGTTCACGAGCATGACGCATGAACCAGCCATCGCTTCGCTCAACCATTTTTTAGGGAACGCAACGACCCGCCTCACACGACACCACCGAAGAGATTTTTAAGAGAGCATGACTACTCATAACCACACATGGATACTATGTTACTAAAATAGAAAAAAAAATACATATAGGTACCAGTGTACATCATTATAACAAACTATAAACACAACGGTAGGACACATGCATGTGATTACCTAAATACTGTTGTCGACCCTGGCAATACTCTCCCAACCCAAAACCAATCAAACATCAGTCCCCCCCTTTCAGTCTGTATAGAGAATGACAAGGATACACCACTGCAAAACCAAGTTCAGGTCTAGAAAAACATACCAGAATCCACACCGCCATTAAATCTTTATCAGAGAAATAATATATGTTCACTTACATTTTGATTGCTGTGTCATACAGTATAAATACAAGTTGTGTAATGTAAAATACAATCAAAATTTAATAATAATTATCATTACAATAATAAAGTAGTATAGAGCAGACTCATCTCCGCTGGCAGCACCCGTTCACGAGCATGACGCATGAACCAGCCATCGCTTCGCTCAACCATATTTTAGGGAACGCAACGACCCGCCTCACACGACACCGCCGAAGAGATTTTTAAGAGAGCATGACTACCCATAACCACTAAAACCAATCTGCAAAATGGTTACTTAGAGTTAAGGTAATTTATCTGTACGACACTGCAAACAAATACAAAACAATTTTGCAGTTACAGCCATGCAGTTTTGTCATTCAAGTATTCTTTAATAGTATAATAGCCTTTCTTAACTAAACAACTTTTAATGTGACATTTGAACTCATTTCTGGGTAACTCAAGAACAGCATCAGGAATTTTATTGTAAAAATGTATACCTTGACCCATAAAAGATCGGTAAAGCTTCTGTAACCTGTAGGCTGGCAATGCAAGCTTGTTTCTATTCCTAGTATTAAAATTGTGTACGTTACTGTGTTTGGTATACAAATTGATATTATTTTTAACGAGGAGTATGCAATTGTAAATGAATTGAGAAGCAACAGTCAAAATTCCAATTTCTTTAAATTTTTCTCTAAGAGATGTTCGGCTACTCAATTGATAAATAGATCTCACAGCTCTTTTTTGTAAAATGAAAATACTTTCAATATCAGCTGCTGTTCCCCAGAGTAAAATGCCGTATGATAAGATACTATGAAAGTAACTAAAATATACAGTCCTGGCAGTATTTAATACTTCGTATTGCCTCCTCGTGCTTCCATTACTGCGTTTACCCGGTTTGGCATGCTGTACACCAAGTTTCTTATACGATTTTGGGGAATATTCTCCCATTTCTCTGTGAGAGCAATTTTGAGCTCAGGAAGCGTAATTAAGTGAGAGTTTCGTTGTTTTACGCATCACCCTTACTCGTCCCAAGCATGCTCGATCGGGTTGATATCCGGACTGCGTGCTGGCCACTCCATACGAGTAATGTTCATCTCTTGAAGGTAGTCATTCACAATCCAACCTGTATGAGGTCGGGCATTGTCATGCACAAATTAACCATAAATGGACCAACGTGTTCATTCAAGATTTCGCCCACATATCTTTCGCGCCGTTTTCTATAAACACTAGTTCTGTGCGACTTTCAGAAGAAATTCCGACCCACACAAGTACAGACCCACCACCGTAGGTTACTTTTTCTTCGATGCATGCTTGCTTGAATCTTTCCCCAGGTCTTATAAATACTGTGTATCATCGTGCTAGTAGAGCATAAATTTTGATTCGCCGGAGAACATAACTTTTGACCAATCATCAATAGTCCAATTTAAGTGGTTGTGGGCATATCTTAGTCTTGAAATACGATGCCCACGCTCCAGGTTAGCGCCATTTGCAGGTCTATGTGGTTTCAAGCTAGCTTCAAAAAGTAGTAGACTTACTGTCCATGCGCTTGGGTTACTTCCGCCGAGGCATCGAAACTGATTTGTAATTTCAGTTCCGGTGAGATAGCGATTTCGAAGCATAGTGTTTACCAAGTATCGATCTTCTCGTGCTATGGTACACCTGGATGTGCCAGTTCCTGGTCTGCGTAGGTTAGAGCCAGGTTCCTCGTAATGACACGATTACAGCTTGAATAATTAATATTAAACACTATCGACATGGTTTATATGAATGATAAATGACAGATTAGAAACAAAAGTAAAAACAAATGTAGTAAGTTCGTAGTTCCATCTTCGAAAGTCTCCCTTTTTCAATTTTTATTTTTTTATGATATAACTTTACAATAACTAAGAAGTTTTAATATATCTTCATTTAAGGAGTATTTAATTGTCCACTAATTAGAATTTATTTCATTAAGCTAGCATTCTTAGATTGCGAGATTTATAGGATTCTTTAAGTGACCCGGTTTCATTGCTCTCGAGTGTACAACAGTTGCATGAATACCAGAATTATCATTGTATACGCAATAACACATATTATAATGTTATGAAGACCGTACTCAGGGGTATGATAACCTCATACCTCAGTTTGTAAGTTCAGGCTTTTTTACTAACAAGGACGTTATTTTTTGTCACAAAATGATTTCTTAGCGCCTATGTAATTTTGCACATTGGCTGCAAAACTGACTGAACTGAAACAGACACATCATCGTCACAGCCGCCATAAAGTTTGAATCGTAATAATATATATTGTAGCCTATACTTATGGCTTTAATGCAAATACTTTACCTGTGTTGGATTCAATAGGTGAACGAGTGTCTGCACTATAGCGTGGTTTGTGGCATTTTTGTGGGCATTTAAAGGAAAATTGCATTCACCACTGCAGTAAAACGCACCATAACCATTCGGAGCGATGATCCAGTCCTAGAAAAATAAACAAACATGTATATCATCATCATCATTAGCCTATTAATTTCACCACTGCTGCGGCACAAACCTTCCCTATGGAAGGAAGAGGGAGATTGAGCCATGACCCACCACGCGGGTCCAGTGCGGATTGGCGGGTGCTAACAACTGCAGATGCAGCCGAGAACAACGGCTTAACGTGCCTTCCGAAGCACGGAGGAACTCGAGATAGAAGATTTTTGATCACTACGAAAGTTGCTTAAGTTCAACGATCGCAGCCGAACGCGCTAACCACCTGCGCCATCGAGCTCCTCCATGTATATATCTGCTATCATTACAAACTTGTTAATATCAATAAATTGTAAGTTAATTTTTACCTCCCTTTAAAGCCGCGCCGTAACCAGAGTTGTATTTAAGATAGGGCAGCGGTAATTACAGGCAAAGTAGGGGCATACCGCTCTTCGCAGTTTGCGGCCTGTCCCTGTTTTTAGGTAAGGCTATTAGGTATTTCAAGTAGGGCATTGCCCCATAATGTCACCTCCTAGCTACGGCCATGCTTTAAAATAGTTTACTACAAGAGCTTGGTTATTTGTTAGATAATAATTCGCAGCTGCATATTTTTTGGTTTTTGATTACCAGTCCAGCAGAGCCGGACTTACAGTGCTTATAAAAAAGGTACATATGGTACCTTAACAAGAAATCTACCTACTAGGTAGTAGTAGCCGTAGCCAACTTTATGCCAAAATCAATCCAACTTTTCACTACAAATGGTAATTTTGTTTTTTGGTAATGATGTAATATTTCGTGGTTGCGTAATTTAGGTATAGGTACTACTTACACATAAGGGGTCATCCATAAATTACGTCACACGAATTTCATGTCTTTTTTGCCCCTCCCCCCGTCCTTGTCACAGCTGGTCACATTTGTAAGACTCCCCCCCTCCCTAGTGTGACGTCACATATTTTGCAAATTAGAAATCATTGAATGAAAACAGCGGTTCTGTAATCAGTTTTATTTCCATTTAAATTGTTTTTTCATTATTATTATAATCAAATCAACAATTAACAAAACAAAAAAAATACCGAACAAAAAGTGATTGACTATGTTAATTAAAGAAATTAACAAAACATAAAATATTAATAGCATTATAATTAAATTAAAGATACAAACTTAATAATCTTGAGTCCATGGACATTGATCCCACTCCTTTAAATTATTTATAACTGGCATAGCACCACTTTGTTCTCGTTTGCGTTGTTAATGCTTTCGTAAAGTAATAGTTTCAACACTTAGATTTTAATATATTTTGAAATGTGACGTCACGAATTTTAGGACCCCTCCCACCCCTTGTCACACGATGTCACATTTCGTCGACCCCCTCCCTACCCCTTAAAGTGTGACGTAATTTATGGATGGCCCCTAACAAAGGATTGTGGGCGGGGCAGGCGCGCCACAGTTATGTGTGATCAAATGCTCATAACTTGACCAAAACTTGGTTCTGATTGCGTCGTTACTCTTGGGTGTGGTGAGCTCTGATTGGTTCGTTTGTTTGATGTCGAGTCGTTTGATTCGCTATTATCTATTAGGTGAAAGTGTAGTGGGATCGAGCTGGCAACATCGGTTCCCGTACAAATGGTCTATGATAACCCTTCTGACCTCTTTCTGTATTCTGTGGGTGCACTTATTTTATTTATTTTTTTTATTTATTTATTCTTTATGCACAAATGTACAATGGCGGACTTAATGCCGTAGGCATTCTCTACCAGTCAACCATAGGATGTTGTGGAGATTATTAGTGGTAGGGTGCACAACTGAAGTGGAAATCACATGGAAAGAAAGTTTATAAAAATAATAATATATAAACATACACATACATAAGTTAATACATTTAAATAAATACACAAATACATACATACTTCCAAAATAAATACAAAATAATGACGACAAACCACTCAATGAAACGCCTGTTCTAATAAAAAGCTTCGCAGTTTGGTTTTAAAGGTATATTTACTGGGGGACATTCTGATATCTAGCGGGAGATCATTCCACAAAAGTATCGTTTTTACGAAGAAGGAAGAGTGAATAATATCGGAGCAGTGTGATGGAACGATAAGTAAACGATTAGAAGAAGATCGAAGATTTTTACTATGAGAGGTACATAAGTACTGAAATTGAGAAGTGAGATAAGGGGGAGCATTTGGAGAATCTAGCAAAGAGAACAGGGTGGTCAGAGCCCGCATAGTTCTGCGCTGCCTAATGGGCATCCATTTTAAGTGAGATCGGTATGCGGAAACATGGTCATATTTTCTCAGATTGAAAACGAATCGAATGCAGTTATTCTGAAAACGATCAAGTTTGTTGAGTAGATCTGCATTCAGGTCGAAGTAGCACAAATCACCATAGTCGATTATGGGAAATATTAAGGTTTGCACAAGCATTGCCTTGATATTGACCGGCAAAAAATTTTTCATTCGATAAAGGGCACGCAGGGTTCCCGTTACTTTTTTACAGACACTACTAACTTGGTCCTGCCATTTAAAACTCGAGTCGATATACAAGCCTAGATCTTTAATGACGTTGCAAAAAGGTATTGTAGTGCCGTCATGAATGATGGAACCAAGACTGTTGATGTCAATTTTGCTCATCATCCTTGACCCCCCTAATAAAATGGCTTGGCATTTTGAAGCATTGACAGTGACCCCGAATTTTTCCGACCAGGTTTTAATAGCAACTAGGTCACTGTTTAGAGCATCAATGGCTTCGTTTAAATTGTCGATGCTTGCTTCGGTATATAATTGTAAGTCATCAGCATATATAAGTCATCAGCATATAATGCAGCACATGCTCCTAGTAAATTTCGATAGTTACTCGATTTAATAAAACATTTGCTTTCTTAATGTCTAATTATAACAACCAAACATCCTCCCAAAAAATGCAGTGCTATTTAAAATTAAATATATATTTTTTTAATTCCCCAAACTTCGGCTAGAAGTTATACTACTTGTAAAATTATTAATAAGAAAAAGTTTTACAAACATACCTGCCACTCCAAATCCTTAAAACTGACATACAGCGTTTGTATTTCACAACTTCTCGTTGTCCAGTGAGATGTATCTGTAGAAGATTTCGATGTTATAAAAAACATGAAATTCGCTCTGGCTTTGCACGAGTGAAATATGTTTTACCGCGGTACAAATATGTCACTCAGGATCAGGAATAACGTTTTTTCTAATCGGTCCAGTTGTTTTTTTGAGTTATTTCTTCTAAATGCTTGAACAGATTTTGATTCTATAGATCTCTGATCTACTAAAGGGTGATTCCTGGGACCAACGTTCTTCGCATCAGATCCGTGGCTTTTATTTTATTTCATTATTAGAAAATACTAAAATTATATGGCTAAAGAGGGCTGAAAAATAAGTCATTCTGTAGATGAGGCACACAGGTAGACCTTATAGATTCTAAAAAAAAAAAAAGAAAAAGTTTTGGCTCGCCACGGATCTGACCAAGGGCATCACGGATCTGCCGAAGTATATGAATTAAGTAATGGCGTCGCGTTAGAATCGCCTGTTAGAATGCTGCAATAAAGAAAATTATAAATAAAACATCATTATAGCAGAAGTAATCAGAAGTTTTATTTTTTTGTATTTTTTTACATCTATTGCATATAAAATATTAAAAAATCAATAAATAAACTACTTTGCTATTTGTTTAAATTCTTACGTTTAAATATCAGTCTTTACTGGGTAGGTACCCACCCACGGCAATAAAAACTGAAAGAAAATGATTGAAGCTGTAAAAATTAGGCCTCCTGGTCGATTTCTACCACAGCGGCTAATCTCAACGAGATGAACCAGCTACGCAGGAGATATTATGTTAGTCCGCGCGAGATTCGAAGCCACGACATTCAGGTTGGGTGTCCAACGCTCTAACCGTTACATCACGGAGGCAGTGAAGCTATAATATTATGTGGTCAGATCCATGGTCGATAAATCAGATCCATGGCTTAAATCCACGGATTTTACGACCGCGAATCTGACGATAATTCAAATATGAAGGTATTACTGTAAAACTATAAATAAAATCGTATTTATTTGTACTCCAGTGCCTACACATGGATATACGTATTATTAATCAAAGACCAGTTAAGTGAAACTATTCTCAATTTAACAGCAAAACGAGCCACGAGTTATACCTACCCCGTTGGACAAACATTTGCAGAAGTCAAAGAACTTACCTAAAATTTTTGGCGTGAAATCTACGGACCCTACCTTCCCGTCCTCACACTGCCGGTCAACAAGCGATCTTTTGGACCAATCGCAAGACGATTACCGCGTATTCCACTAAATAAATTGTCATAGTTTCGGCGCGAGATTGAAACTATGCCCGCCGCGTGACATGTATTTGAACGAATAAAGGTATACTAGACTTTCATTATTTTAGAACAGTTTATTCATGATCTAATAGAATAACTTTTTATGTATTTAAAAAAGTATATATTCATGTATAACCTTAAGCGTAAAAAAAAATTCACTATAACACAGCAAGAGCCGCGCGTGTGACAATCTAGTGAAATTATCGCGTTTTTCAGTTTCAAATGGATATTTAACCAATTTATTTAATTAAATATTACTTTTTATCAATGGGCCTCAACACTACAATAGTTAAGTAAAGTTTGGAGTGGTACTTTATTCAAGTTGGTCTATTACTCCATTTTATATTTCAATGTGACCCTTAAAATCATGGGTCCCAGGAATCACCCTAAAATCACAATGAGAACATTGGCAAAGATTAAAAAATGACTGTGAATCTTAAGCACGGCTTCTATGAGATCACTGCTGTTAAAATGTTTATTTCTGCTCTTGCAAGCCATCTTCCTTATGAAAGAGACGCATTTCTACATACACACCCGTATGTAGGTATGTTTTCTAACGTGAATAGATTCTTCAAGTTGTTGTCTAAACCCTACTTGAAGAATCCACTCTCAGGTACAGACACGCGCCCGCATCGCCGGTGTCCAGATTAGGGCCGCTCTTGAAGAACGAATTCTTGTTCTCCTTTATAACGCCGCAAGACATTCTATCCTTCGCGCATATGATTACTGACACTATGTGAATGATACCTGTGAGTGAGTTCTTCAAGTAGTTGTCGGAGAAGGTCTGCCAGCGCCACGCCTCCCGCTTTAACAACGGCGCGATCCCGTGTCGCCGCTGTCCAGCTTAGGGCCACGTTTGAATAACGGATGCTTGTCCTCCGCTACCTCGCCGCGAGACATTCTATCCCTCGCTCACATTATAACTGACAGAAAGTGTATGATACCTGTGAGAGGATTCTTCAAGTAGTTGTCGGAGTAGGTCCGCCAGCGCCGCGCCTCCCGCTTGCGGCGCGCGCCCGCGTCGCCGGTGTCCAGCTTAGGGCCGCTCTTGAAGAACGCCACCACAAACGGCTGCTTGCCCTCCACTACCGCGCCGCGGGGCTCCTCCAAGCCGATTTCCTCGGGTTTCACATGACGCTCTGTCAACATTTACGCATCAATGTTCCTAAATGAAATTAAAAACTTCTAAAATCATGTATGTTATCCTCATTCCATCTCTTTTGAATTCAAATAGTTGACAAAAATTACATGCAGTGCTAAACGGAAGTAAGCTTATAAAATATTAGTGCAAGTGGCTCTAAGTATAAATATTAAAATTACCACCTTTGTAACTCTACTAAGCTCTCTAACAAAAAGTTACCCTTATAAAATAATAAACAAAAACACGATCGTGTTGCTGAAATAATCCGACCAAGTGCGAATCAGACTAGAGAACTAAGGGTTCCGTCAAAACTCGTAATTTATCACGGGACTCGCAAATATCAAGATTCTGAAATCAAAGATGAAGAACGTTGTTTATTTTGCATGTATACCTTAATTTTTGCAATATTTACTGGCCATTTTTACCTGGTTGCGAATGAGGATGCATAGTGACAAAGAATCCTCGGTTGTCAGCTGGTGAGCTCAGCCAAGCCCTGAGCGCATTCGTCACGTTCATCTCTAGCCACCCCTCCGCAGACGCACTCGTGTTCACTGAAGCTACTTCCTCCAACTGCAAACCCCTATAGCGATGTCACCAAAACAAAATAAAAAAAAACTGTCAAGTGTGAGTCAGACTCTCACACGAAGAGGTCCTGTGCCATCGTAAAAAAATCACATTTTGAAATAGAGCTACAGTATGTACCGATTCTAAGAACGAACCATGAAACTTTAATTAAATCATGCGATATTTTTTGTTTTTTTTTACTTGTTTTTTTTTTATATTATTTGTTACCACAGCGTAGTTAAACGCAAAGGTAAGATGGGAGCCCACGACACTAAACCCAGTATGATAAATAATCTCTGGTTATCCCATCACTTCGTGACAAGATAAAACAAGGTTTTCACATATTCTTAAGGCGCAAGCGTCCAGCAGTGCTATACTGTAATAACAAACTCACTTTTCACCGCGGAATCCGCCGGTGTGATTTTGTTGACAACAAGTGAGTTAATTTCTGCAACGTGTGGGTGAGTTACCTATCATAAGAACAAATTGTTGTTACAGTAGATAACTCACCGTCCTGCCACTTAATCAAGTGGCTTGATCAAGCCCAACTGACTGTGTGGGGTGATATTTTGGAAGGGAATGTTACTAAACTTAACGGAAGGATTTTGACTCGATCAAGCTTATTTGATCAAGCCACTTGATCTAATGGCATGATGGTGAGTGGCCAGGCCACCATTACAGAATAGCACTGACGCCGCGCTGTCAACCAACTTAAGTCAGGTGGGCCACGGGTGAACGCTGAGCCCGGCCACGTGACCCGCTCCGCTCATCACACGAGCAAGCGAGGCAGAGCGCGTAAATACGACACGTTTCTCGCGTACGAGCGAGACGATGCGGTGACATTACGTACGTATACTGCGATTCAAATAAGAATAGGAAAGCCAATGACCTCCATCTGTCAAATGTCGCTTGAAAAGTACGGTTTGCAAAAAATCTTGGAATACTTTTTTTAGCACTGAGCTAATCTTAGAATAAATACGAAACTTTTGTAAACAAAAGAAGGAAATAAATCGTATGTAACGTATAGAAAATGAGGACTGGAAAGGGGAAGTATAAGCACTGTAGTTTTATTATAAATACAGGTAATAAAAAGACCGATTTTATCTATATCTATACTTATAATAAATCTGTAGAGAGGTCAATTCTGTACATGAAATATATTTTCAAAATAACTATCAGGGGGTGATTAGTGATCGATACTGATGCCAAAAATGCAATCAGTAAAATTTTTGTCTGTCTGTCTGTCTGTCTGTGTGTATGTTCCTTATAGAAACAAAAACTACTCAACGGATTTTAACGAAACTTGGTACAATTATTCTTCATACTCCTGGGCAGGTTATAGTGTACTTTTCATCACGCTACAATCAATAGCAGCAGAGTAGTGAAGGGAAATGTTGGGAAAACGGGAAAAGTTACTCGATTTTTTAAGCTTCCGTCGCGTGTGCAGCCTTAATGGTTAAAGTTACATAGAAATTATGTATGACGGAAATATTCTACATAAAATTGTCTAAAAAATATCCTGCAACAGCATATGTCTATCTTTTATGGTTGACTCACAATAACACGTGTAATTATATTAATAAAGTCATTGTTTATAGCACAAACCTGAGAACAAAAACTATAGTTTACACTACAGCTCTACACCGAAGCGAAGCGAGGGCGGGCCACTAGTTTTAAATAAAGTTGTCGTTTTAAAACCTACAATAATCGATATTTTATTTTATAACCAAAAGCAGCAGTGATGCTGACTACACCGACGGTAGTGCAGAGAAATTTTGATTCAAGGTTATTCTCAGTCACTCAGTCTTAATAAATAAATATTTAATTATTATAAATCTGACATTTTTTCTCACTTAATCTTGGTAAATAAGTTTTATTAAAGAAAAACTTTTTTGCTCACTCTACCTAACTGGTTTGAATTGACAGCTATAACGTCACAATATGGCGCCCAGTCGGTCCTATTCTTAGTTGAATCGCATTAAACAGTTGGTGTAGTGAGCGCGTCCACATAGAAAACCATACAAATAATATCTGTATGTGCTGGTCGGGTGCCGGATGGGTCAGGTGCTCTATGACCTTGCTCGATTGGAATCCAAATTAATGGATGAGCTTGTAAAAAAATACTCTCTTTTACCCCATATTATCGACGCTAAGCACGCGGTGGGCGACCACGGTGTAGATGGCGGTGGGGTCGGGCGCCTCGTGCGATGGCGCTTGGTGTAGGCGCAGCTCGGCAGTGAGGAGCGCCGACGCATCCCCCGGAGCGCCCGCCACCTCGAACCAGATGTGCCGGCCGTGGCCATGCCGGAGCGCGCCCAGGTGGTGCTCTGGAAGTTTAACACGTCAATTTTACTGCTGCATTAAGTCACGTTTGGCTTTTTCCTTTTTTTAGGATTCCGTACCTCAAAAGAAAAAAACGGAACACTTGTAGGATCACTCGGTTGTCTTTCTCTGTCTGTCACAGTCGATTTGCTTGGAACCGATCAAGTTAAAAGGACATAGGTCAACTCCCATACATCGTTTTATTTCAAATTAAATTGTTGCGTCTTTCAACAAATGACATGTCATTCTGCGTAATTTATTAAGCGTTTATGTTTGTTTTATGTGTAAGAATCACGACGAAAGAAAACCGCGGAAACAAGATATTTTGCTTTAAACATGTATAGGTTGTTTTTTTGTCATTTTTATTACCTACTAGTAGCCCGCCCTCGCTTCGCTTCGGTGTATTTTAAATTTATGTTATGGTATTAAAGTTCAAATTAACTTTCAAGTACTATCACGAATCGTTTGTATGGGAGTATAGAAAAGTGTTGTTTTTGGACCTTTCAGGCATTTTTTTTAATTTTTCTCTGCATAAGAACCATCCTCGTACTTCAAGGAATATTCTAAAAAAATAATTATCCAAAAAAAGGTTCAGTTGTTCTCGAGATTTGCACTTAGCAACACATTCAGCGATTCATTTTTATATTATAGAAGATATAATCTGTTTTACATTTTTCATTACAGAAATTGTTTTTTTTTGCACAAGAATCATAATAATTATACCAATATCACAGATAAATTCAAACTAGAGTAGAAGTTATTTTATATTACTACCAAGCCACCCTACCATTCAGTATGGTCACTCTACAAAGATCCGGCTAGGTGGGTACCTACTACCGACACACAATGACAATGGTATTTAGTTTTTTTTAATTCAAAAGATATTAATATCGTTCGTAATTACGAATATAAAATGATTTTCAGGGAAATTTGATCATTTGATTCTGTACGGCATCGATTCCGTGCAGTTTCAATACCTCTCCTAATTCATTATTCCGCAATGCCGTACAAAATCATGCTACAAGGGGGAAAAATCGAGCGTTACAACTCCATGGTCAGGGGGGTGATTTAACACAACATAAAATTAAATGATTTTGAAAGTATTTTATGCATAAATAACAGTTTTTCACATGCCGTACATTTTTGTTGGTCCAAAAAATCTGTACGGAACACTAAAAACTAATAATAACGCGGATGAAGTCGTAGAGGGAAGCTAGTAAGTAGGTAATTTTATTTTTTTGGAATATGTATTTTTTCATCCCACCACCTCGGAAAGTGTAATTTTGCGCTTCGAAATCTGGCTGGAAAATTCTATTTTATTCGCTTGAGCGGCAAAGTAGATTTGAATTTAGAACATCACATATAATGAGTACTCAATATAATTGTAAATTCAAAACGTCATTAAACCTATTTAATGTAACCTCTATGGTGCCAAATTTATGATTAGAACTTTTTAAATTGTGAAAAAATTTAAATTTGGAACCTTCTTGGTTTCTTTGTTTTATTTGCGTGCTTCGCGCCATTCTAGTTTTTCACGTTTTATTGCTTAAATATTTTGTCATTATAAATTGTTTTCTTTTTCATTTTGTCATTTCCTCGCTGAGGTGGGATGAAAAGTTACGTATTGCACTCGAGTGGAAAGATTTTTCACCTTGTGCTCGTTTGTTTCCCTCGCTGACGCTCAGGATTCTAATTTAGAATCACTCGCTGCGCTCGTGATTCAACTTTAGAATCCTTCGCTTGCTCGGTCATCCAAATCGAGCACGCGGTTAAAAAGGAACTTTCCACTCTTGTATAATAAATAACTATTTCCATTCAAATGGCGCGAAATGTTCATAGAAAACATTAAAGTTCATTCATAGGAAATAATCATAACGTACTTAATAATAAAACGTTTCCCATAAATACGGTATAAACAGCGAAATTGCGTAGCCTAAGAATAGACTAAAGCGTTATATTGAATGCACAGCGCAGTGATTAAAACAAATATAGTGTTATGTTATTGTGTGCCAGTAAACGAAGACCGTAGGTCGTGTACCTTATTCACTTATTGTGACTAGGTATAACTACAAACGACCACACTGCGACGTGCGCCCATTGACCTTATTACACAAAAAATAGAGTTCAATTTTAGTACTGACGCCGCCGTATGCGTAATTGCGACTTCCCGCTAATAGATAAGGCAATTCTCATGCAAAATATCAAGATGTCGGCAACAACAGGTGCTGCTCGATGACGAATACACGTAACTTGACACTCAGTCTAGGTGTGGATATGATTTGAACATTAATTAATAATAATCTATTGAAAAATTAATGATGCTGTTTGGTTGCAATAATAAACCTATATTTATAATGTTACTTCGAATAGATAGTTACCCATGACGTCTTATTTATTATTTTGAACTTTGAGCTATCTGAGACATAAGTTTGATGTTTTCATGATAAATAAACTGTAATCATACAATTTACTAGTTCTAGTTAGTCTTTCTTTGCAAGTCTTTGTTATTTACTTATAGTCCAGTCGTCCTGCCATTTTTCTACTGTCTGGGGTCAAATTTTAAAACCAGTATTTTGATATTTATCTGATATTTATGTTTTCGAGGGTGCTGAATATGAATATGAAGGTCAGAATAATTGGCTAATGTGTCCAAAAGTACCGGATTTCAGATTTTAATATAAGTAAAAAAATGTATTTTATTCATTATTCTCTTTCAAAAGAAATTTTGAATTTAGAGTTCCGTACCTCAAAAGTAAAAAACGGAACCCTTATAGGATCACTTTGTTGTCCGTCCGTCCGTGTGTCAAGACCGTTTTTCTCAGGAACGCGTGGAGGTATCAAACTGAAATTCATATCTAATACTCAGGTCTACTGTCCCTTGGAGCTGTGAAAAAATCAAACTTTTAAGCCAAAGCAATCAAAACATACAGCCGTTTATGTCGCAAATTTTCGAAACTCGCACGGGAATCAAAACCTACAGGTTACTTCCCGTGAACTTAGAATCTTTTAGTGCAGATTAAGGAAAAATTGCGAAAACCGTAAATTTTTAGTTACATCATATAAAAAAAAATATTTTTGAAAATTCAGGTTTGTATAGAACCCTCGGTGCGCGAGTCCGACTCGCACTTGGTTGGTTTTTTTTTATATTTGGAAAGGGGGTGCTGCAATCGCATATTTAAAAATAATCTTAATTTTGCCATTACGGTGCAAAAAAATGTTCAATGGAGAAAAACCATTGTGCTAATAGGCTAGTTTACTCATGTCGAATTGTATGAAATAAATGTTTATTTCTTAAAGTGTTTAGTCTAAGGAACCTTAATATATCGATTTCACTTCATAAAAGCAGAAGATTGCTGTAGAAATTTAATTTTAAAAAATATTTTTTAGTCTATATTTTTTAAACACTAAAAACGCTGTTCGCCACTTTCGCCATGATTTTGACGTCTCTTGTGGTAAACAACTAAATGTCATTCGCGTGTTACTGTAGATGGATTCTTTCGTCTGACTAAATTTATCTTAAAACACTTTTAACTTTAGGAAAGAAAAAAACAGTAAACTTAGTTTTTTTTTACTAAACAAATTATGGATGCCGGCTTTGTGAAAGCAGAAAGCACAAATCTGCCAAGAATTGACGCATTGATGGTTGGTGAATTTGTTGCACTAAAACCCGATTTCTGCTCTGCGGAGCAGAGAAACGACAAGGCATCTATGTAAGTTCAGTGCATTTAGTATTACAATGTAGTAATAAACATAAAACTGATATAACATATGAATAAGTGTAATAAAGTTGCGTAGGTTAATTTCTTTCGGCACTTTAATCCACAACTTTCCTGGAGTCTTCAAGGATGTGTTTTTATATTCTCGTACAATACAGTAATGATAATTACTTTATTTTTCGTGGTATTTATTAGAAATCATGTTTTTTTTATTATAAACTCAGTTAAAAGTAATTTTCTACGTGTTTACGAGTTTTTGTTTACCACAGTTCACGTCATAGCATAGACAATCTATAGACTAAAATGGCCGACAGCGTTTTTGTATGTCCATGAAAAGTCTATTTTAAAATTAAAGATTTGTAGCTTTCTAGGTTTAAAAAAAATACAATACATTTTTTTTTCGGTCTAATAGAACATTTATTAACCATTTAAAACCTTTTTCCAAAAAGGGTCAACTAGCCTATTAAGGCATTTGATGCCTTTTGTCTATATGTGGAAAATTTGAGTACTTTGGTCCATAATTGAGATCAGAAGCGACGATAAAAAAATGCTCCAAATAGCTAAGAAAATAAATTAGGTTATTAAATTAGATTCTTCGAATAAACTTGAGGGATAGTTAGATAAATCCTTCGCGATCATTTCTAGCCAAAGTACGTCTCAATTGCTTGAGTTAATCGCAAAAAAACCGGTTTTTACCTTCCTAACTCATAATGGGCCTAATTTTCCGAAAAACTTGTAATCGCACTGGCAACCCAAGTTTCTAGATTTGCGCACCTGCAACTTAAACAGCCCGTGGAAATTCTGAATCGGATATTTCTTATATTTTTGTTAATTTCAGTCATGGTTCAAAAATTTTACCCCAAAAAACCACAGGACGACTCGACTATTGCGTAGGTACCAAAAAATATTTCTATCAGTATATTGTGTTAGTGGTAAAATTTTAGAAATTGATAATAATCTATACGGGATTGAAGAAAAATAATATTTTTAAGCATTCAATTTCAGTAAGTACCTACTTAAAGATATTTAGAGACGTTTACTTTGACTAAATAGTTTTCCTTGTTTTGTGGGATCAATGTAGATTTTGCAATTATAAAAAGCTAACTTTAAAATATGATTTTTAACTAAGATAATGAAACTTTCCTTAATATCCTACTATTTAATATTAAAAAGGTGATAGTTACTCGGGGGTAAGGGGTTCTAAATACACCTGCAAGAACCCAAGCCAACCTCACCTTCACGTGGTGCACCCCGTTGACCAACAGACGAGGCTCTGGCAAACCGACCGA